ACACACATACACACACATACACACACATACACACATACATGCATACAGACATACAAGCACCTGTCTACCGATGATGAGAGGACGAATTCCAACGACGTTTTCTTGCATTATCAGTTTTATTCGCTTCTGTTTCTTACTTTTTTTTTCCTTTTGAAAAAAGTTGTCACAATTATGCTAACATCTCCTTTATCTCCGTTTGTCACTTCTTTCCTGAAATAAATTCAAATAACCGAAATAATACATTTACATTCAAGAATGTTAGAAGATTGTTCCTACAATTGTCAAATTTCATTAATCCATTTGTAAATATAACTTGAAGTTTCTATTATTCTTCTTTCCTCTTTTTTGAATTTGATAAGTGATAATAAGAGAAATTTTAAAGAAATAAATCATAAAAATGTGTATGAAAGAATGATAATTATTTAAGGAAGAGAAAAACATAAATTTATTTCATTCATTCATACAAATGTTATTTAATAACAGCTAAAAAAAATTTTTGTTAATTTAGTTAAAATGATACTTTCAAAATTTTATGCTCTGAACATTCCACCTATAAAATATTTTTAATTAATAGATCATTTGAAATAGAATATCTTAAAAATAATTATAATTAATTATCATTGTTACACTGAAGCGATTGACATTTATCATAATGATATTGCTTACGAATTCGAAGAATATTTCCTTTAACTTTTGCCATATTAAATAAAACTCTTTCATTGGAAATTTCCTAATTATCTATCATATCACACTATCGTTGGCAAATTCAATAATTCTTCTCTTTTTTGCTTCAAAAAAAGCGAAAAAGAAACGAATGTTGAGATCATTGTAAACTGTACAGATCACTGTACAAAACCTACTCCGTTTGATAAACAGCTCATTTTCTTAATATTAATTAATTATGGTGTAAAAGAGAGATCTGTTTACTTGAATGTTGAATAGAAAGATTTCTGTAAAGGAAATTTTGTTCTTAATTAACTTCGAAAATTGAAAATATTTTTGTTTAATGTTCAATGTATAATTTTATTAATTTCAATAATACTTCGCTTTTTATGCTTAACAGAGAAAGAAAAAGCGCCATAACGATAATTTTTTATCAATGAATTTGTAAATATGACCTGTTATTTCGTTTAAAAAAATCAGTCATTATTTAAATAATCAATTGAATCTTTTGCAACGAAAAAAAATCAGAAAATTATTGTTTATTTGATCAATTATATAATCGTAAAAAATATGATTGAACTTTTGTTTAAAAAAAAAAGACTTTCAAATATTCTATGAAAGTATTTGCAACATTTTGTTGCATTCAATCAATAAGTTTAAAATTGGGCGATTAAATTTGAATAAAGATATGATTTTTGAATTTTCAAATCAATATCTGTCCTGATTTATTTTAAATTTTAAAAAGTAAGTGCTAAGTATAATACATAGATATAATATGATTATTGGATGTTATAAATATAAATTTCACAAATATTTGGTCTAATATCACTGATAATGCTGTTGATCTGTATATGAAATAGGTTTACAAACTTCGAACAAAGTATAATTAATAGCTTTTTATGGTTCAGTAATTTAAAATTTCTATTCAAAATTGATTCCGCATTTAAAATTAATTTTTTTGCTCACCTTTTTTAAAAAACATACTAGTAGAAATAAGTTACTTGCAGCTTAATTATCTTCAAAAAAAGATAATTTAAACACAAATTTTAAACACAAATATTCTATTTTTCATCGACCCCTATTTTTTATTTTTCATACTTCGTTTATTATTGTTATCAATTTTAATTTTCTGATTTTGACTGCTTATGTTTTATAATTTGGCAAAATTTGTGTTTAAAAATGATGATCTCAGTTCATTTTATAATTCATTAATGATGATGCAGTTCAACTATGGAATGTAGCAATTAATTAATTAAAAAAATGAAAAAGGAGTGAGAGGATAAATACTAGTGATAAATCAAACAAACAATTTTCAACTATTTGATTTCTCAAAAATTTTCATGACTCTAAAAATTTCGTTAGGAAATTTTTTTCCAAACAAATCTTCCAACAGTTTAAGTTTGAATAACATCAACAACATATGCTTTGTGAATTCTAGCAGTCAATCACTTCTAAACTCGCTTTACAATCGGCGATGCATTATTTAAACTTTGGTTTGAAGAAAGACTTTTTTTAACTTTTTTCAACCTCATTTCCGGATTTCAGCAAAATTCAAAAGAGCAGATTAGCTTAG